CCCCCTGCTTATCGTGATAGGCAAAAGGAAAGGACCCCTAGAAACAGGGTTTGACACACACACACACACACTTAGTCACAGGTTCATCCAGTATCATAATCCACGGTGAAATGGATGTGGGAAACGCAAGGGGAAGTGGTCAGCGCAGCTGAAATGTTTAACAAAGTGTTCACTTGTTTGCAGAACGCGGCAGCTGAAAGCGGCTGAGGGAAACCCGTTTGAGGGGAAAGTAGCATGAGAAACCGCCATGAAAGCAAACCGAAAGTGGAACAGCGTGATCAACAGTTGAAATTGCAGGTACACCAGGTTGATCAGACCTGGCTTCCACCATCACGCATAGCTTCGTTGGCACGCGTTTGCGTGATGGCCGCGTGCCCCCTGCGTGAAAGTCATAAACTCCTATGTAGATAAGGTGGCACACACACACACACTGAGACGCACCTATCAGACTGGCCTGCCATGCCATTTGGACTGTCAGACGGTCCAGATCGATACACCGCGGGCACACACAATGTGACACACAAGTTGTACAGAACCCTCCACTGAATAGAGAGGGCTCGTTTGGGAATCCTAAAATGTTCATGTAGCAAAATGTAGCAAATGTGCTTGGGCCACTTAAACGTGAAGCACATGTAAAAGCTGTAGACTGTAGACCTGTGCCATCCATTGAATTTAAGACAATTGACAGCTGTTTTGCTGCGCGAACAATGTTTAGCTAACCACGAGTATATGTACGATTATAATAGACCCTTCACCAGACAAGTGAAACACCAACTCCAGGCGATGTATGCTGCGATCATCGAATCCAGCTGCCTGCGGACTGCCTCTTGAGCTTAGCGTCAATCCACCTTGGAAGTTGGCTGGGTCCGCCTACATGGCCTTGGGGGCCTTCACCTGTTCCGGGTTCGAGGTAATCTTTTGGGAATGTGCTAGCAACTGTAAGCCCACTGGAGCATCATGAGGTTGAAACAAGTGGCTTGCTGTGGGGCCTGCGGGTTGCATCCCCAACCATGGGGATATTTGTTTTGGTGGACAGTGCGTTTCAAGGGATTAAGGGATTAAGGTCCACGTGGCCGGGTCTAATGGCGTGTATTCTTGCGGAGTTGGACTTTTTGAGGTATTTGAACCTCCTCGGTGCACGAAATGGTTCAGAAGATTGATTGGCCATGATTTTGTTTTCTCAGGTATGAGGTACTCCTGCCACTACTCTATAATTGGATGTTTTCAGGCCTGGAGTTGTATCCATAATTTTGAAGCATTGCCTTCCACCGTCCACCACCCATATTTTTGTTCATCCGGGCAGAAATCCCAAGCTACCGTTGCCATGACCAGGTTGTCTTCGCTTTGCCATACCACTTCATTCGCAACTCGAAGATCCACAGTGAAGACCCTCGGAGAGAAAAGCAGTTCCCAACGGTTGGTTGGATCCTTCCCTTTTGGTTCTGTTCATTTTGACCGGGACAGCGGAGAGATGAGGAGATGAAGTAAAACGGGGCCTGGGAATGATTTTTGTAGCAGGATTTTGACACTGGGCTTTTGAAAAAGCACTGTCCTTTTCATCGGCTGTCAACTCTTGTGCTTTGGTGGCTGTCAATCGACTCACTCCTCAGCACTGTCCTTCACGTCAGGGCACCTTCAGATGCTGTGGGGACCTGTTTTTCGCGTTGGGAACAACGACTGAGGAAAGCTTGAGCCAGGGGAGCCTTTTGGGTGTCGAAGGCCTAGGACGAGGTACAGGGACCGCCCGGCGATGGAGGGAACATCGATGTCCTATGTGCAGCTGGTACGGCTAGGTATATTACAGCAATACTTTGTATGGTTTGTCGCATGGCTACGTACGGCTAGGTACAATGACCGTGCTAGTACGTCTAGGTATATGAAAGCCGGTTTGGTATGGATGTTCCCTGCTGAAAGGGCACATGATCTACTCATCCATCGGGGGCTCAAGGAGCCCATCCCTTCACTCCCTCTCTACCAGGGTCCGCCGTGCCCAGCGTAGGCACGGGCTCCTCGGAGCCTATGCCGCGTCTCTTCGATCGCTTCACGCGACGGGAAAGTGTGAAGCACTGGGCGCAATGGCTGCCCTTTCTAGCAGCACCTTGGACAGCTCATGAGAGTCTGTCCTTGAGGAGGAACATGGGCCCCATGTATATATATATATACAGCGTCGCCGAACATTGTAGTTGAACATCACAGTAGGATAGATCGATCTCCAAGACGGTAGAACTGATAGAACGCATCAATTGGCTGCTGAAGGATTCATATAGATGATCACTACCCAATTACCTAACAGCTCTGGGGTTCGATGCCACGACATGACGACATGGTCGACATTGCTGGGAGGATCGGACCTGCCCAAGCTTTCTAGGGAGGATCGTTCAAGAAAGCTTGACGTTGTGCTTCATGGAGCCTTATTCGATTTGGGGCGCCATGATGATGAAGTTATTCGTTTTTCATAAGGGCGATTGGTTGTGCCTCAGACAAGCCTGACGGAGGAGACAGTTCAAAGACACAGATCGGGTTACATAGAATAGTAATTGCGTATAAACTATATCAATATATACCTAGAAGCACCTGGAATTAAAAAGCTCCGCCTCAGTCCGATTTGCCCGGAAGGATTCGCGGATTTAAGGGAAATCCGCGCCAGGTAGGAATTTCCGCGGCCAGCGGGGAATTTTTGCCTCAAGCAAATTCCAACATAGCCTTTCAAAAACCATCACCACTGCCTAACACCGATCAGGTTGTCTCTTCCACGATTGCAGACCACATATGTCGTTCAAGGACATAGTTTCACATCTCAAGGTCTCACACCCGATTTTGACACTTCTAAATGCATGACATTCACAAAGAGGCTGCAACATATCTTCAAGCCCTTCAAAGGCTCTGTTCTTGAATCCCGCCTTCTGCCCGGAAATTTATGTCGTCTTCTCGGGTATTTCCGCCTTTTTCCCGGGTATTTCTGCGTTTTCCCCAGGCATTTTCATACCAGGTGTTTTCAACTTTGGACTGGTTTACTCCATGTGTGCTCATTCTGCACAAGAAACCTTTCAACAACAAAGACGCATATATGATATGATGGTAGCCAGATTTGCAGGTGGAGGTGGAAACTTAAGCCCTGCCACTCCTTTTGACGTGACCGTTCCCGGCAGAAGTGCCCAAAGTAAACAACCAAAAATTAAACCCCTCTAGAATACATAGTCTTTGTCCCCTGAAATCAAAATTCGCGGCAACAAACACATTTCCGCGGCAAAATGTTGATTTCCGCCCCAGGACGGGAAGAGCCGCTCTTCCCAAAAAAGGCAAGAATTTCTGCCGAAAGGATCTTCTAGGTATGTTGTCTATGAAGTGATTCCCAGTTGATCCGTTCCTAGGTAGGGATTGTGATCCTTCCCCTGCTGTTGTCCAGCAGCTTCATCATCTATCGCGTGGTGGACCTAGTTCTGTCCCTGGGCGAGAGTTGGCGAAGATCGGGTGACATGCCTTTAGCTGGACCGGCTGAGTGTGAGCAAAAGCCATTCATTGTTTACCATTCGCAAACCTGCAATTGAGTTCTTGGATTTCGGAAAATGGGAACCGATGCGAACCATATAGAAGTAACATTCTTGTAAGTCCTTTTCACTGTTTCTTTTGTTTGTTTGGTTGAAGTATGTTGAAGTCTTAGAGGCGCTCCTGACATTTGGTTGCCATGGGGCTGCCTGCTGTTTGAGGTCTTGGTTAGAGGCTTCCTTGTCGAAGTTCGTGACAATAGATCGAAGTTGCGGCACGATCGCTCTCTTTGGCGTTTACAGCATGATCCTCATGCAGGTGCGCAAAGCTTTGAGCAGATCCCAACAGACCACGCAAGTCTTATTGAGTGTGAGTGACGGTTGGACTGACGGCAATACACTACCTTGATGCGAGCAGAATGTCAACATGGGATCAAGAGAAAGATTGAACAGCAGGACCAACAGAGAGTCAACAACATATGGCGGTTCAAAAGAAAGATAAACTATACAACAAGATGTTAGGAAGAGATGGATGCTGCAAGAAGAACAATGCAAGCAAACATCCACATGGGTTCTGTGTTATCGACGATGATCTCCAGACCTTGCTGGTCGGCTACTTCCTTTCTGGGCTACACACACTGTGCCCCGACGCACTTTGTGTGGCTTTTGTGACTATGTCTTAAGTCAAGCTACTAGTAGCAAGGACGCTATTAGGTGGAGGCCATTCCTATTAGGTTTATAAGAAACTTTCATTGGAAAGAGCCTGTTTTCTAAATTTTTAAAAAGGCAACAAAAAAAGGTCAAAAAAAAGTCAATCCCAAAAGTCAAAGTCAAAAAAAGTCAAATCAGCAAATTTCACATTTCAGAAAGTCAAAAAAAGTCAATCCCAAAAGTCAAAGTCAAAAAAACAATCAAATCAGCAAATTTCACATTTCAGAAAGTCAAAAAAAAGTCAATCCCAAAAGTCAAAGTCAACAAAAAGTCAAATCAGCAAATTCACATTTCAAACAGTCAAAAAAAAGTCAATTTGCCCAGATCCGACCTTTTTTGACATTTTTCGACTTTTTTTTACGTGTTGTTTGACTTTTTTTTTTTCTTTTTTTTCCATTTTTTTTTTCCCTTTTCTTGACTCCAGTAATCCGCCAAGGCGAGGAGCCACAGTTTTGACTTTTTTTGACTTTTTTTTTACTTTTTCGAGCTGTGGTCTATGGTTGACTTTTTTTTTGCCTTTTTTTGACTGTTTTTTTGACTTTTCAATTTGATTTTTTTTGACTTTGACTTTTCCAGTTGACTGTTTTTTTGATTTGTTTAAATCACGGATTCTGGCCTTACCATATGAAAGTTTTCTATACTATTAGGTTCTTTTTGCTACTAGTAACATTGTGGATGCCCAAGTTGTTTCAGAAACACTGCTCGACAGCCGATCCGCATGGTCCCAAATGGTCATGACCTGGGCAAGTCTTCCTACTTCGCAAGTGAAGTTAGGCTACAGCTGCTACTAGTAGCGTCCTTGCTACTAGTAGCAAATTAATAGCGATGGCCTCCACCTAGTAGCTTCTTGCTCCGAGTAGGGATGCCAGGAGCTACTAGGGATTGCCCCTGCCAGGGGTCCATTGTGTGTTGAGAGACTTTGAGGGGACTCTTTTTCCATCAACGTCACTACTTCCAATCGGCGGGTTGGAAGACCCCTGATAGCAGGTTCGGGTTCAAGTAGCTTTGCCTCAAACTTGGAACGGAGCCACCTATCCTTGCCAATGTATACAGCAAGCTTGTTTTTTCAATGCTTTTTCGATGCTGATTGGGTTCTTCTGTGTGTGTTGGCTTTTCAAGTCTATCAGGTGCCAGCACGACTCATGACTAGAATTGGAGAATTGGTCAAATTAAGTGGCCGAACATGTTTGGGCTGGGTCCGTAATGTCCCTCCCTGTGGCCTAAGACAACTCCTTTGAAACTGGAGGTGTCCAAGTTCTTGGTTTTTTTGTGTATGGGAGGTGGGTGCAACACTCCCCACACCCACACTGCAACCCCTGCCCCCAATCCCCAAGTGAATCAGGGCGAATCTTGTCCAGATTTATTCCATGTGTCGATGATTTTCCAGTTTGATCCATTTCATCCCAAGATCTCCCAAGCTTTGCCAGCCCCTCAACTTCGAAGTTTCCACCGCGCTTGGCGAAACCCGCTCGCGCGCAAAGGCGCTTTCCCTCTCTCCAGGTATTTCGTGTTGTCCATGCAGCTGGGCAAATGGCCAGCCGATCCGCAGCTTCTGGCACGTCTCCCTGAGGCCAAGCCGGAACTCCGCTGGGCCTTGCGCCTGGCGCGGCGGGCCACAACGCGCTAGGACGCGAGGCTCAAGTCACCGCTCTTGTTGGCAAGCGAATGTGGCGACTGGCCGCTGCTTGTCGGGTGATTTGGAGTGCTTCAGGAGCGACGCAGGCGATAGATGTCACATGTACAGGTCTTGATCTTCCTCGTGCGAACAGGTTGTGACAGCTATAGAATTTGCTGACCACTTTTCTTTGCCGTCAGGCCAGCCAGTCCAAAGTTGACTAAGACATACTAGGACTTGTTTCTTGAATCAGCTTGAGCTCTTCACCCAAATTTGGCTGAGGGTCAGGCAGATGGGTTTCCACCCCAAAGAGCCTCACAGAAAGACTTTGTGAGAATGGGTGGCCAGGTTTATGCCCGGCCCGATCTAGGTGCTAATGAACGCGTGTCGGCAGGGCAGAGGTTTTGTTTGCCTTGACGAGTGGCGCGCGTGAAAACCAGCAGACTGAGGGCCACTGCTTGCCAGTCATATGTTGGTGAAATATTGGTGAAGTATGTTGAAACAAAGTTCCCACCAATACAGATGGAAGGCAACTTCAGTAGTTCAGCTAGTTTTGAGTGCAATTGCGCTAAATGGCACTTATCAGTTTGGTTGCGTCAACTAGATGCGACCAATCAATGTCAGAGATATGTCGCTCAAGCAGGCCAGCTTCCTTTCTGGATCATGTGCACTGCGGAAAGTACATGTCACTTTTGCAATTGGAGATTGCAGCACTTGTCTTCGGAAGACATCTATAGTATCTATATATATGTATCTTTAGTATCTACGAATAGCTTTTTGAGTATGTGTGCACAGTACCAAATTCGGATCCATCATTTAATCAAGTGTGAATTCTTGATTCTTGATTTTTTCTCTCCAGGTTGGGAGAGCTGAGCGCGGGATTGAGGGATGAGTTTGAAGGATGTTTGGTCGACTTGGAGAAGGTGCGAGGGAGCGACGCGAGATGTTTGGTGAGAGGGGTGAAAAGCTGACAGAGTTGATGATTCCATTTTTGGATGTCTGGGGTGAAGACATCTCAAAGATATTTTCACAGATACATCAGTCAAAGATGGAATGGGATGTTCCTGTTGTTTAGATGTTTCTTTGAGATCTTCCTGCTGTTTCACAAACATCGATGCATACCGGAGCAGTGTGTTCTACATACACACGCTGCGTTTCAAGGTGCCCGAGACGCCAGAGACTTCAGAGGCGGCCAGATGGTCTGAGGCGGCATCCACAGAAGTTGGTTTAATGTTTGTTAAAGGTTAATTGATTTAGACTTTAGACTCGTAGACATGCTCATGAAGATAGCAGTGAAGATAGTACAGTATTATATTAGATCATCATGATAATCACTGGGATTGATCATTTCCGCATTTTAGGAGGCAAAGGAAGGCTTGGCTGCTTGGTGCTTCCGGATTGAGTGGTTCAATTCCACAGCGTTGCCAGAGAGGCTTTTACTGGAATACGCCGCTGCAATGAGCAGCTTGCAGCTTGGACGAGCTGGTTTAACCTTGACATCTTCAGATATTACAGTACAAGTCACAGTACATATTGGATCAAAAAAGTCAGTCGTCTTCGATTCCCAAACCATTTGAACAACAACAATTTCCCAGCTGATTTGTTAATCTAAATGGTCAACGTGTGGCACTCCGACTCTGGCACCACACTGAGGCAGTTCTACGAACCGTTTCTATCCACACTGAGTTCGTGCCCATGTTTGTTTAAGATAATGTACCAGCCCATATATCATACAGAGTAAGTGTATCTCCCATTTCATGAGAGCCACTTTTGCCAAGGAATTGAAGATTACCGAGATCCGGGAGAGGATCACTGAGAAGGAGAGGGATCTTCCAGATCTTTCCAGCCTGAAAAACATGTTTTGCAAAGTCTCCATGCGATCTTCTGATCCTCATGAGCCATCACAGTCCATGTGATAGAGACAATGGAGACCCATGACCATGTGATGTCTCCTGGAGAATGGCGTGAAAACACGGTCATGTCCACCGCGGATCTGGCCCGAGTGAAAACGAACCGATCTGTACCGAGCGGGACCTATCCCACCGGGCAGATGCGAAACATGGAGGGAGCGACCTATCCCACCTTTCAGGACGTGGAGCGGGGTGGAGCTGGGGATGTGTGACATGACTTGAAAATGATAGATCAATGATAGATCAATATCAAGATATATAGGAAATAAATTTCTTAATGTGTTGGACAGACCTGGTTTTTTCTTTTTGTTAAAGCTGTTTTTGTCGCGTGATTGTGTTTCACAGCCCCTTGCGCACGCTTGGGGGAGCGATGGTCGCAAGCAACCTTACTGGATCTTCTCTGGCGCCACCCGAACACTGCCTCTCTTTCTAAAAACTTTCCGCCGAGGACGCTACTAGGGGCTCCTGGCCTTACTACTAGGAACAAGGACGC